AAAAAAAAAAAAAAAAAAGGAAAAAAACAAAGAAGAAAAGGAGAGGGCTAAGGAACCACGAGACTGCGTGGCGCGGCGTGGCTAGGGGCAGTGCCCTGGCTGCACCTGGATTCAAACTTGAGTGTGTATGCCAACAGTCTGTGGGTGCCTAACGGCCCCCACGAATTGCCCTGCCTCGTTGGCAACGCGTATGCAGGTCAGCCTTCGTTTTATTTTATTTTATTATTATTGTTTTTTTTTTTTTTCTTGTTTGTTTTGTTTTGAAAGGCCACAATGCGCGATGTGTGGGGAGGTCGCGCCCGGCTACATCTGGATTCGAACTTGGGTCTGCGTTTCAACACTTTGTGGGACACCAACAGCTGCACTGGAAACAAGGTATGGTTTTTTTTTCCCTTCTTTTCTTTTCTTTCAGTTTATTTCTCTACTTTCATTTTTTTTGGAATCGGGCTTCGTGTTTAGCCAGATCGGCTGCCCTCCACTGAATGTGCAGCAAGTAGGGAGTTGTAGGGGGAGGGGTACGAACCTGGCCGTGAGCCGGGGAAGGTACAAAGTAAGGGGGGGCTATTGTGCTTGGAGTAGCACAATAATGAAAGGTCCGGTGCAACCTATCCTCGATGCACGTGGCCTGGGAAAAGGCCAAGTACATTAAAATTGAAGGGTTCTAGTTTCTCTAGGGAAAAATCAGTGATTGTGGCCCTTGATCTTGGGTTTAGATCAAGGGCCCAGGCATGAGCTCGAATTTTGGGTTGAGCTCAAGTGCTTCCCACAGTCCCTCTAACAAGTATAAAAGTTGGGCTGCCCGACCAGCTGCCTCATATTTGTGTGAGGTGCTGCCCACACTCATTCTTGAGTGCGGGTCGGATGTTGAGGGAGCTGAAGGAGGAGCCGCTGGAGGGGTGGGAGCTCTGCAAGAAGTTGAGGGAGTTGAAGGTGCTCAGGGGGAAGAAGGTGGAGTTGCACAGCCATAACCACAGTCCACGCCCGGTTCGTACCTAGAAGATCAGCGCATCAGGTAACGGATTGCGTTTGGGTCTAGTCGACGTTTTAACCAATCTTGCCTCTTAGGGAAGGTAAGTTGCACCTCGCGGAAACCTATCTTGTCGTAAGAGACCATGAGAGGTACGGCTGGCGCACGCGGCTAGAGCGGCAAGGTGACAACGCGACCTCGTTTGTCTCAACGATTGGCGAAAGTTGTCTATGAGTTGTCCCCGAGTTGTCTCTTGTTGTTTTTTCTTTTACTCATGCGTGACGTGGTCGGGAGGGCTCTCACCTTTTGCGAGGAAGTGGGAGTTGATGCGCTCGACAACGGGTTGCTAACTTGCTATTTATGCAACACAATTGTGTGTGTATTACTGTGTAACTTTTTTTTTTTTTAAGGAATCTTGCCCACATGAGCAGATAGGAGTGATGGTATGAGCATACACTTCTACCTATGTTACGGGGGGCTCTAGTCTATTGGTGGGGAGCTACACCTGCTGGAAAGCGGGTGCAACGTCCCCTCAGATACAATTGAAACAAATGAAACAAATGAGTCATGTATGCTGCGAACTGGGCGCAATGTCCCTCATGAAATTGATGAAACTTACTAAGAATAGGAGCTTTGTGCCTCTTCACCCATCCTGGGCGCCATAAACTTTTGATTAAACCATAACCCTTGACATTGTGAACCAAGAGGAAACAATCTCATGCCCCTTACTTCAATCTTATCCATACTACGAAGAGGGAACTAGACAATATCCTGGTAGGGGGGATCAGGGAAGTCAGTTAATGGTTTTAATTGTATAGCAGGATCAACAACACTCCAATCATTGAAGATCAATCGGTAATTCCTTTGAAAAAAACCTTGTGAACTCTCTTGTGCTGCTTCCCATAGTACCTGCCTCAACCTCCCTCCCTCTATTGAACTGTTGGATGAGGTGTCAGATCTCATTTTGTAATGATAGATGTTGAATTTTTCCTCTTAAGTTCTCCTATTTAATAGTAAGGTCTGTTTGAATATGATGTTTGATAGTTTCAGTGAAATATATAGGTAATCTAGGGTACACCTTCTTATCCAGAATGCCCAAATGATCGCTCTTCTACCAATTGAGAACAAGTTTGTTGTGAACACATCCACTTGATCCGGATACCAGGATTCCAGG